TATATTAGATGTTCAGGGAATAGGAGAGGGACCAAACAAAAAACACAAACTTAGTTTATTTACAAATAAAATCAGAAAAAAAGTCTTAAAGCTACTGTGGTTCTTGTTTCTCAACTGGTCTTATGGTCATAGCTGGTATGGTCTTAGCTGCCTTCTTCAGCTCCCCATTCTGTACCCTTTGCCCTCAACAAGCACCTCAGCTGGTCATGGGTTCTTGCTAGGTGAAGACTTCCTTTAGCAGCTTGCTTATATTTGTTTACTGTAATTTTTTTAATAGTATTAATCACAGGACATGGTACTGTTAAGATGTACCCTAGAGGATTGCTGACATTCCATACTCCTTCTGTGTACAGTAACAGTCTATTTCCTCTTATAGTCAGGCTCACTTAGCCCAACCATTACATTAGCCCCCTTGTTTGTCTGTTGACATGAGAAATTCAAAGTGGCCAAGTGGCAGTCAACTTCCAGTTTAGTGGAACACTTGCTTTTTCCCTTGGTAGAAGCACTGCTTCCTTGTTAACCAGAACTTCAAGACCAGCAGTCCAAAGTTAACTAGCTGATCACTTGCAGTAATAGTGAGAGGAGTCACTCCCATTTGTATCTCTGCTTCCCAGGCCAGTGAATTGAAGACTTGGGGGAAAAACAGGATTCTTTGGTGTACAACTTAACATAGAGGATGCTATTCTCTCATTTAAAGTGTTGCCACCCAGCTGTCATCTAATTGAATATTTGAAATGCCACTCCATTCTCTCAGGCCAGCTGCTTCAGAGGTTGAGGAACATGATGAGACCAGTGATTCCTTGAGTGCCAGCCTTCTGTTGTACTTCATTTGCTACGAAATGAAATTGCTTCTTTGGTCAGAAGCAGTTTGGTGTGGAATATAAAGACAATCCATAAGGCATTTTGTACATTCACAGATGATAGATTTAGCAGGAGCATTGCTGGCAGGGAAGGTAAAGCCATATGCAGGGTAAATGTCTATACCAGTGGAACAGAATGTTGCCTTTTTTATCATAGAATGTTCCAATGTAATCAGTTTTAGATTAAACATCTGGCTGTCTCCCAGAGAATGGTGCCACAGTTGAGACTCAGAGTTGGTATGAGCTGTTTGCAATTTGGGCACTGAGCTATGTTATAGACAGCTGTGTGTGTGTGTGTGTGTGTGTGTGTGTAGAGAGAGAGAGATAGAGATAGATATTGGTCTTTGCTGGTGAAAGTTTATATTGCTTCAACATGGGTACTTTGTTCTTGACCTCATTGTACAAAGACAGGCTTGGCTAACAATGTGTCTGACCGATGTCCACATCATATTGTCTACCTGAGTAATTAGGATCTATCTTTGTGAAGGTTATTTTTAGTGATTATTCATATGGGACACAAATATCTCCATATTCTGTGCCTTTTCCTCAGACCTTGCCAACAATTTCCTAACCATCTTGCCAATTCATAAAGCCACTCTAGTGTACTAGTATGTATCTGTACCTCAGGCAGGGTGAAAAATCCTGTACACTGCTTGAAGATGTGCTGCCTGGGAGATTTTTCCCTTCCCATTGTTCTTCAGGGACCCTTTGGAGAAGCACTGAGTGCTTTAGTAGTTCATTTTTGGATAGTTCCAATATACCATGCAGTCTTTCGTAAATTAGTTCTGTGTGTTTTTCAGTCCAGTAATAAGGAACTAGTCACAGGGAACTCCGGCAGGTTGATGAGGAGGAGTCTAGATAGCAGCATGGTTCACTTGCTCGTGACTTCACTTAGAACCTGCTTGGGCTCAGTTTTGCTTATACCACTTCTATTGTGATGATGGAAGTCTGCCTTATGAATTGCTGGGTCAGATGATACCTGACTGATGATAGGCAGTGCAGGCAACTTAATCTCTTGTAAGACCCAGGAGCAAGCCAGAATATATTTCCAAAAAGAGGATAATAGTTATCTGTAGAGAATGATATAGCTTTACTACACCAATCACGATGGCCTATGTTGTGTCTCATAGGTACAGCAGAGATGCCATATAGCATCACTGTTCAAGACAGACTTGAAATATTGGCAAGTTTGTTGGGTCAATGTTAAGACAAGATTGTATGGCAGTATTGTCTCTTGTTTAGGGTCCTATTCAGAACAGACAGCTTCTTGGGTTACTTTGTAAATGAAGTACATGTTGCTTCCCAAATCCAAGTAGTCCCATGGGGCTTTGTGCCCTCTGTTAACAATAAGGGGTTCATGGGCTGGGGATGTGGCTTAAGCGGTAGTGTGCTCGCTTAGCATGCGTGCGACCCGGGTTAGATCCTCAGCACCACATACAAACAAAGATGTTGTATCCGCCGAAAACTAAAAAATAAACATTAAAAAATTCTCTCTCTCTCTCTTTAAAAAAAAAAAGGGGGGGGGTCCATATATCCAAGCTTGCTGTTTTAATCAGCTTTTTCACTGCTATGACCAAAACACATGACAAGAACAATGTTATAGGAAGTAAAGTTTATATGAGGGCTCATGGAGGTCCCAGTACACAGATGGCTGACTCCATTGCTCTGGACCTGAGGTGAGGAAAAACATATTGACAAAAGTATGTGGCAGAGGACAGCAGCTGGGAACATGGCACCAGGAAGGGGGTGGGGCAGGGGAAGTGCTCTGCTTAAAAAGAACAAAATATAAAACACCAAAGCACACCTCCAGGGCCCCACCTCCTCTAGCCACACCCTACCTGCATATAGTTACCACCAAGGTAATCCCTATTAGAGGATTAATGCAGTGATTAGATCAAACCTCTTATAATTCAATCATTTTTATCTCTAAGCTTTTTTTGCATTGTGTCACACATGAGCTTTTTGGGGACACCTAATATCTAAGCCATTACACTTAGCCCTTTATCTTGTAAGGAATATCTCAACATCCCCCAGACCCTTTGACTTATAGAAATTTCACCAAGTTGATGGGCTCAAATTTTTGTGGGATTTATTTTCCATCTCTGGAATGTATCTGTCTTAATAGTTTATAGAATAGTTTCTAGAGCAGCTACTGTTGCTGTTTCTTGTTCAACAGGTTGAATAGGCATGATATCATCAATGTAATGAGCCAGTATGATGTGTAGTGGAATGGAGAAGCCATCAAAGTCTCTGAAGATTAAATTGTGATATAGGGCTCCAGTGTTGTTGATACTTCTCTGAGATGGGATAGTGAAGATATGTTGCTAGCCCTTCAAACTGCTTCTGATGGCCTTTGCTAAAAGGTAAAAAGATAAAGAGAATAAATATTCAGCAAATAAATAGCTGTATACCAGGTGCCAGGGATGTGTTTTGCTCCATCAGTAAAGTCATATATGAAATAGCAGTTGCTATTGGACCCACAGCTTTATAATTTTTCCGTTAAGTATTGTTAGTTTCTGGGATTCACTTGTCTTCTGCACAGGCCACATAGGTAAGTTGATTAGGGATGTGGTAGGAATCATTACCCTAGCCCATGTAGGCAACAATTTTTGCAGACCCTATAGGTATGCGGTAAAGCTTTTGGTTTACTATATAGTTAGGTAAAGACAGTTTTTTTCCTCTTTCTACATTTTTTAAATATTGGTGCATTATAGTTATAGATAATAGTAGAATTTGTTGTTACGTATTTATACATATACATAATATAGCAATATAATTTGACCAATATCACTCCCCAACACTTCCCCCCTCTGGTCCCTTTCCTCTCCCTTTCATTTTCATGAGCTCCTCACCATCCTCACCTTTCCTTTCCTTTCCTTTCCTTTCCTTTCCTTTCCCCTGCCCCTAGCTTCCACATATGAGAGAAAACATGTGATCCTTGACCTTCTGAGTTTTGATTATTTTTCTTAACATAATGATCTCCTGTTCCATCCATTTTTCTTGCACATTTCATTTTGCTTTATGGCTGAATGAAACTCCATTATTGGTGTGTGTGTGTGTGTGTGTGTGTGTGTGTGTATCACATTTTCTTTATCCTTTCATCCATTGAGGGGGCACCTAGCCTTGTTCCATAGGTTGGCTATTGTGAATTGTGCTGCTGTAAACATGGGTATGCAAGTATCACTATAGCATGATAACTTTAATTCTTCAGGATAAATACTGAGGACTGGTATAGCGGGGTCACATGGTAGTTCCATGCCTAGTCTTTTGAGGAACTACCATACTGATTTCCGTAGTGGTTGTACTAACTTACAATCCCATCAACAGTGTTAGAGTGTTCCTTTTTCTCTACATCTTCTCCAGTATTAGGGTAGAGACTGACTAGGTGTGAGATGAAATCTTGGTGTGGTTTTGATTTTTATTTTCCTAATTGCTAATGATGTTGAACATTTTTTCATGTATTTTTTGGCCATTTGTATTTCTTTTGATAAGTATCTTCTTAATTCATTTGCCCATTTATTAACTGGGCTATTTGATTTTTGGTGTTAAGGGTTTTAATTTTTTTTTAACACATTCTAGGTATTAAGGTATTAATCCTCTTTCAGGACAATAGCTAGAAAAGTCTTTTTTTTTTTTCCCAGTTCTGTAGGTTGTTTATTCACATTTCTAATTGTTTCCTTTGCTGTGCAGAAGCTTTTTAATTTGAAGTTATCCCATATATTAACTCTTGGCTTTATTTCCTGAGCTTTAGGGGTTGTATTGAGAAAGTCACTGCCTGTGCCTATATGCTGGAGTGTTGACCCTATGTTTTCTTCTAAGAGTCGTATAGTTCCTATGTCTTTAATCCATTTTGAGTTGATATTTTGCAGGGTATGAGATAAGGGTCTAATTTCATTCTTCTACATATGGATAACCAGTTTTCCCTGCACCATTTGTTAAAAAGCTGTCTTTCCTCCAATATATATTTTTTGACACCTTTATCAAAATTAAGATGACTATAGGTGTTTGGGTTTGTCTCTGTGTCTTCTATTTTGTACAGTTGGTCTGTATGTCTGTTTTTATGACAGTACCATGCATTTTTTGTTACTATAGCTCTATAGTATAATTTGAAGTCATGTATTGGGATGCCTCTAGCATTGCTTTTTTGGCTTAGAATTGCTTTAGCTATTCTGGTTCTTTTATTCTTCCAAATGAATTTTAGGACTCTTTTTTTCTAGTTCTCTGAAGAATGCCTTTGGTATTTTGATGGGAATTGCATTGAATCTATATATTGCTTTTGGCAGTATGGCCATTTTAACTATATCCAAGGACATCTTCTGAGATCTTCAATTTCTTTCTTTGGTGTTCTATGGTTTTCATTGTCACAGTCATTCATGTCCTGGGTTAGAGCTTATTTATTTATTTGAGGCTATTGTGAATGGAATTATTTTCCTGATTTCTTTCTCAGCAGATTCCTTGTTGGTGTAAAAGATTCTTGTATGTTGATTTTGTAACCTGCTACTTTGACTAAAGGCAGTTTTGCTGGCTTCCTCTTGACCTTTCCTACCCATAATAGCTCTCACTTATGGACTGTGGGGCTAGAGAATCCATTAAGTTTCTATCCCTCTGGATCCAAATTCTATATTAGTTAGGGTTCAGTCAGATAATCTGACCCATTATGAGTAGTGATGAACTTTATTAGAGGCTTTAGTCCTGACAGGGAAGCTGGTTAACCCCCTGTCCCTGGTCAGCAGTGCCGGCAGTATGGAAGGAAGATGGGTGTGAAATATGGGACAGTAAGGATGAGCAGAAACTCATGAGGACAGTGGGGAGCCCATTTGTCTCTCATTGGGACTTGTGTCAGTGTGTCATCACTCCCAGGGTTCTGACTTACAGGGAGCAGGTATCCTGCTGCTGAAGAGTGCACTTTGCCACAGAAAGTTGCAAACATAACCAAACATTCAGAGAAGCCAAAGAAGCTGCAGGCCAACTTGCTGCAACAGGGAGATTTAGCAAGAGCTGGAGGAACTGGCTTCTGCCGCATGGCAACAAGGTAAGCCAGCAAGCAGATCCCTGACAAGAATGAGCTGCAGTAGCTCCTGACTGTGTGCCAGTCATCCTAGTGTAGACTTGCCTGCTGTTTGACTTCCACCTTTCAGATCTGCAGAGTTCACTTGTGGCTAGACCTAACGCACAAATCATGCAGGGAAGGGAGTTCTTGCAGTTCCTACCCTAATATCCTATTTTCAGTCAGAACTCTCTGATTTCATCTTACAAGGAGGCATTAAAACCCTTCAGGCAGATATTTTGGAAAACAATCTTTAAAATGTGTCTGGCTTCTGTTGGGAGGTTTCAAAAAGAATCTGACTTTGACCTTAATACTTGGACTGGTAAAAAATCACACATTGACTAAAATCATAATATGTAATTATAAATTAGTTACAATGGAATTGTAATGCCAATCCCAATAGTATTTTTTTTTTTTAGTTGTTGATGGACCTTTATTATTTAATTTATATGTGTTGCTAAGAATTCACCCCAGTGCCTCACACATGCTAGGCAAGCATTCTACCACTGAGCCACAACCTCAGCCTTACAATAGTACCACTGATTTTTATTTTTGTTGCTTGCATCTCGTTTATAATTAATAACTCCTTATCTTTTCATCATATCAGCCAAAATGTGAACATTATCTGGTCACTTTCTTTTCTTCCTTCTTTTGTTCTTCTTCTTCTTCTTTTTTTTTTTTGGTACAGGGGATTGATCTCAGAGGTGCTTTCCTGCTTTACCATTGAGTTACATCCCCAGTCCTTTGTATTTATTGTTTTGAGACAGGGGCTTATGAAGTTGCTTATCCTAGCCTCAAACTTTTAATCTTCAGCCTCCTGAGTAGCTGGGATTATAGATGTGCATCACTGCACCACTGTGCCCAGCTAGTCACTTTCTTTAAATGATTTAGGAGATTTTTGGACTACCTTCTCTGTACAGTAATAATAACGACAGTAACTATCAATTGTTAAATATTTAACAATATTTAGGTACTGTGTTAAGAAATTTCAATATTTCAAATTTCAAATTTCTCTTAATTCTTTTTAACAATACTGTGAAAGTTAGGTATGGCCCACATTTTATAGAAGAGGAAATTGAGGTGCACGTAAGTATCTTGTCCAAGATTACTCAGGTAAGATGAAGACCTGACTTTGAACCCAGGTCTCTCTGACTTTGAAACATGTCATCTTGACTGCTCTGCTATACTGGTTTAAGTTTGTCCATAATATAGATGATGAGGAACATCCAGAAGCCAATAGGAAAGGGAAATTGAAATTAACTGTCTGGTCTTGTTTCTCCTCCCTTCCTCATAGCACTAACCGAGGAATTGGATTCTGTAACCAGTGAGCTACATGCAGTAGACATTCAAATTCAAGAACTCATGGAAAGGCAACAAGAGCTCCTTCAGAAAAAATCTGTCCTAACAAAGAAAATAAATCAGTGTTTAGAGGATTCTGATGCTGGGACAAGCAACGAGTGTGATTCTTCACCTGCCGCTTGGAATAAAGAAGGTCTACTTTTTCTTTGCTAGTATTGTTTTTTCTCATTTCTGTAGAAGTAAGTCATTCCGTGTGGGTCAGTGCTTTCCAGTAGTAGTTTGAGAGGTGAGACTAGCTCTTCATTTGGTGAAAAGGAACCATTCTAACCCATGTTCTTAATCTTTCTAAATTAAACTCTTATTATTCTGACTTTATCAGTTTTTTTTCACATATGGAAATTGAGGTGCATGTAAGTAACATTGTCCAGTGCTTGAAAAATAGATATTTACTTCAACTAAATTTTCTAGTATTTTTTTTTTTTTTTGGAGGTTCTGGGCATTGAACCCTAGGATGTTTTCCTACTGAGCTACATCTCCTGTTTTTTTTTTTTTTTTTTTCTTTTCTTATTTTTATACAGGGTCTTGTTAAGTTGCCCAGGCTGGTCTCAAACTTGGTATCCTCCTGCTTCAACTTCTGGAGTAGTTGGGATTATAGACCTGTACCCCTGCAGCCAAATTTTCTAAGTTTTAACTAAAAGGGAGAGAGAAGGAGAGAGAGAGAAAATAAATAAATAGTTACTCATACCACTTGCCAAAGTTTAGTCTTTCTTCCTGCTATGGTGAAGAAACCATTGATTCAAAATCTTGAATGAATAATAATAAACAATGTTTATTGTTACTTACAGTAGAATAACTCTAGAAGGAATTGCAGCACTTTTGTAGAGATTGTTTTCTACTGATTGACTTCTAAACACAAGATATTTACACCAAAAACTCCAGATAATTTTCCAGATAATTGTTAAGTTTGTTCACTGTATTTGAGTTTTTATGCTGTAAATTTCTTGAGCAACATTCAGAAGATTTTTTAAATACCTGGTTGAAGACTTCCCGTTCTATGTGGTTTTATTCTCACTTGGTACATGTTTATGTTTTTTTTCTGATGTACTGCTTCTTATTTAATTTGTTTTTGCTTTGCTTAGATTTCTGAGTTATAGTAATTCCAAAATTGTTATTATAAAAGTTTAATGGTTCATAAGTATTAAAAGTCTTATGTATATTTATCTGATTCTTATATAAAAGCAGCCATTTACATTTTTGTCTCATTTATAAACCTAATAGTTCTAGTATTTTAGCTTATTTTTCTCTTTCTAGATTTTCCATGGTCTGGTAAAGTCAAAGATGCTCTGCAAAATGTCTTTAAACTACAGAAGTTCAGACCACTTCAACTTGAAACTATTAATGTAACAATGGCTGGAAAGGAGGTATTTCTTGTTATGCCTACAGGAGGTGGGAAAAGTTTATGCTACCAGTTACCAGCATTATGTTCAGAGGGTGCGTGTTAATAAGAATGAATTTTAAGTTGAAATTGTTTCTCTGAATGTATTTTAATTCTTTAAAACATTAATTTCTGATCAAACACATGTAAAAACCAAGTGTTTTTGTTTTATTTTGTTTTTCTTTGTATTAGTAGAGATTGTTCACTGAAATAGGTTGTACTAGAGAAATAACTTATTAGAAATGGAGAGAAAATATAATGAATTCAATTTGGGACATGTTGAATTTAAGATACCTTTAAGATACCTGTGTGGTAGGATTTTGGGTCTAAAGCTTGAGTGGGAGATCTGAGTTAGAATAGTTGGAGGCTGTTAACGTAGAGATGGCCATTGGAGCCACAGGAGTAATTCAGGGCAACATGAGAAGAGGGCCTTGGAACAGACATCTGAGTGCTAAGAGTTGAGGGGTTAATGGAGAAGAAGAGGGTTGCAGGGAACGGCTGAGAAGGATGAACAAAGCGTAGGAGGATAATCCAGAGAGTGTAGTATCATTAGAAGCCTTGGGAAGGGAGTGTTAGAAAGAGGGAGCGTCATTAGCGATGTCTGTCGGCAATAGTGATGTCTATTGGTCAAATAAAATAAGGACTTAAAAATTCCTCTTGATATAGTGACAAGGGACTCATTTTTTACCTTAGCTAGAGCAATTTCAGTCAGAAGGTTCAGTGGAAACAAAATAACAATGGCTTGGAAATAAGTAGGAGTTGTGGAGGTAGGACTGGTGAGTGTGGAATACCTTTTGGAAAAGAATGTCTATTAAAGAAAGAAGAGAAAGGATAACTTACAAATAATATGTTCTGGAGACTGGGGAGTCTAAGATTAAGGTACCAGCAGATTTGGTGTCAAGTGAGTGCCTGTTCCTCACAGATGGCACCTTCCTTGCTGCATTTTCACATGACAGAAAGGGGCAGAGATATGTTCTTTATCCTCTTCTATAATGACACTAATCCCATTGTGCCTTCATTATTTAATGACTTCGAAAAGACATTGCCTTTTATTACTGTCATACTGGGTGTTAGGTTCTGACATAAGAATGTTGGGAGGACACCAACATTCAGACCCTAGCAGGTGTCTTGCTTTTGGGAAAATGAGAGAGACTTGACCATGGTTAAATGCAATGAATAGATGCCAGTAATGAGGGAGAAGTATAGAAAATAATTGAGAAAGCAAAATCCCTGATAAACTTTATAATTTAAGTTTGTATTTTTAAATGTATGTACACTCTGCCAGAGGTTATTATAGCAAATAAGTTGCAGAAATATTAAGTCATATAATTTCAACAAAATGTAGAATTGCTCTTGTAAACAATTTCATTTATAGGCGAGAGGGAGGGTATTATTAGAACTTCGTTCAGTCAATACTCTATTCACTGATTCCTACTCAGAATAAATTAATCTGGAGCAAAAAGTAGAATACTCACGCAAATCTCCTTCTTAATTATGTAGATTGCTGTTTTCATTTGGAATGCTGTGGAATAATTTTTCCCTAATATAACTGTTTAGAATTTGACCTGATTCATATTATATTATTGAGTTTACTAAAACTGTTTAAAATGAAAGTAAATTAAACATTCAAAATGTTAAAATCTATTTTTATAGGACTGAATAAGTGTAGAAGTTTCTGTCTTATATTTGCTTATTTGCCTTATCCTCACCTTGTTTGGTCATTTACTCATATCTATTTTTGGGTAAGAAATAGGCAGTATATTGATAAAACTGCATCGAAGATCCTCTATTCAGAGGATGGGTAGGCCCACAAGTTATAGTAAAGAAAAGAAAGTGAATGGTTACAGGTCATTCTGGTGATGGTGTAAAATTTAAAGTTTTTTTTTTTTTGTCCCTCCTTCCTCTTTTAGGATTTACACTTGTGATTTGCCCATTGATCTCTCTTATGGAAGACCAATTAATGGTTTTAAAACAATTAGGAATTTCTGCTACCATGTTAAATGCTTCTAGTTCTAAGGTATGAATTCTGTGTTTTTTTTTTTTTTTTTTTTATTCTTCAGTGAAGTAGGAGTCTTGGCTATAGTTGAATTGCCTATAAAATTGTAAAATGTTAACTGTTTAAATCAGGAGATACAAAGAACATCTCATGGGTCAGTTCTGGCCCACAGCCTATCTTTGTATGTCCGATGAGCTAAGAATGATATATACATACATTTTTTCCCCCCAGTACTGGGGATGGAAGCTAGGGCCTTGCATGTTTTTGTATTTTTAAATGGTTAAAAACAACATCAAAAAAGAACAATATTTTGTGAAATGTGAATTATAAAAAATATTTAAAATTCACATTTCAGCATTCATAATAAATTTTTATTGGAGCATAACCATTTTCATATTATGTATGGATGCTTTCACACTATAATGGCAGAGTTGAATAGTAGTAGAGACCATATAGCCCTTAAAATATAATATTTACTATCTGGTACTTTATAGGAAACATTTACTGACATGTTTATTTTAAAATAGGAAAAATGTTTAATTATATAATCAGTTAAATACAAAAAAATAAGTTACTAAAATGACATGGACTACCTATGGAATTTTTTTTGGTTTGGGAATGTATCCTCATCTGTAGAAGAGAGTGTTTCCCAACATTATTTTTTTAAATACAGGAATAATTTTTTATTATGTGCCTAAGGCATGGAAGTGTTAGATTCCAGTTCCCTGTTATTCTTTTAAAAGCATATTATTGATATCTTCAAAACTATACCAAAATAGGGTAATAGTATAAAAATGGCCATGTATCCATTATTACCATTAATATTTATCAATGTATGTCCAATCTGCTTTTATGGGTATCTCCCCAGTTTTCCCTATGCTATTTCCCTTAGTTTATTTATCTGAAACAAATCCTAGGCCTTATATTATTTTTTCCCACATTTTTTAAAATTGGTGCATTATAGTTGTACATATTGATGGGATTTGTTTTTACATATTTATTTGTATTTGCATACAGCACTCAATATAACAATATAATTTGGCCAATATCACTCCTTTAGCACTTCCCCCTCCCCCTCTCTCTCTCCCTACCTTCCACCCTTGTGTCTTTCCTGTACTGATCTCCCTTTGATTTTTCATGAGATTTACTCTCATCTTTTTTCCCCCCTTTTTCCTCTCTAGCTTCCACATATGAGAGCAAACACATGACCCTTAACCTTCTGAGTTTGACTTGTTTCACTTAACAATGATCTCTAGTTCTATTAGTTTTCCTGAAAATGCCATAATTTGTCTTTATGTATGTATATATTTTCTGTATTCATTCTTCAGTTGCTGAACACCTAGGCTTATTCCATAGTTTGGCTATTGTGAATTGTGCTGCCTATAAATGTGGGTATGCATGAATCATATATTAAAGTATGATGACTTTAATTCTTTTGGAAAAATACTGAGGAGTATGGTATAGCTGGGTTGTATGGTGGTTCCATTCCTACCAGGCCTCATATTTTAATGTAAAATCTTCAGTATGTATCTCTAACTTCAAAAAGATGTGTAAGTGCAATGCTACCTTCATATCTAAAAAATCTGAGCTGGGCTTGGTGATGCCTATAATCCCAGTGGCTGGGAAGGCTGAGGCAGGAGGGTTGCAAGTTCAAAGCCAGCCTCAGCAACTTTGCCAGGTCCTAATCAATTTAGAGAGACTCTGTCTTAAAATAAAAAGGCCTGAGGATATTTACCTGGCAGGGGAGATAGCCTGGTCATTAAGGTGATTCTCCCAGGTTGAGGCCTATCCATTGTACTCTGGATGTGCCGACTCCTGTGATTTCCCCAAATGTGGGAAACATGACTGCATAATTTGTGCTAGTGGAAGACTGTCTTCTTGCTTTCCCCAAGTGGGGAAAAATGCTATCAGTTCCTTAAAAATCATCAACTAAAAATAGTCAATTGTCTCATATTTCATTTTTTTAAAAAAGTTATGGCCCAGATAACATTCTTGTATTGTATTGTATTGTATTTGGTTGACATATAAGATTTACCTTATCTCTTTTTTGGTTCCTTGGGTAAATTATTTAGGTAGTTGAAAAATCAGGTTAATTTGCCTGTAGTTTTCTACATTCTGGATTTTCCTGATTGCATTCTTGTGATGTTGTTTAACTTGTTTCTTTTAGTTAGATCTAAAAGCATGATTAGCTTGATTATATTTGAACTTGTTTTTGGAAGCATATGCCTGCCTGTAGTATCACTCAGGAGGTACCCATAATACCTGGTTATCTTTAGGGATGCTAAGCTTGATCAGTAGGTTCAGGTATATCTTCCTGATCTGTCATTTTTAGCTTTTATCTAATGATTTTGGCAGCCACTGATGATGGCAAATTAACCTGATTTTTCAACTACCTAAATAATTTACCCAAGGAACCAAAAGCAGCAAGGCGAGAGTGCTTATTTCATTAAGGAGTGACACAATGGTGATATTTTAATTTTACCATTTCTTGTTCATACATTAACTGGAATTTTTGTATAAACAAGAACTTTTTACTCATTAACTCTTTGCACATTAAAATGCTTGATTCTTTTCCTTTCTTTGCCACTTTGCAGTTAAGATTTTTATTTTCTAGCATGCTCCACAGCTTATTAACAAGTTTTTTTTTTTCATTTTTCCTCCCCAAGTATGAGTATATTATGACTTTTTTATGTATTTAATGTATTTCAATCCATAGTTATTATCTTTTTTTTTTTTTGGTACCAAGGATTACACTTAACCACTGAGACACATTCCCAGCCTTTTTTGTATTTAATTCAGAGACAGGGTCTCACTGAGTTTCTTAGGGCTTTTCTAAGTTGCTGAGGCTGGCTTTGAACTCTTGATCCTCCTGCCTCAGCCTCCTGGGCCACAGGATTTACAGGCGTGCATCAGCACACCTGGCCTATTATCTCTTTACGCTGAAGTAGTCTTGTCTTTGGCCAGTGAGAGCCATTTAAGATGGCTCCTGGATCTTTTTATTTGACCCCATGAAATCCTTGATTTCTTTCACAGTAAGATAATTCATTTTCATTTTGTTTGTTTCCTGCCCAGACCTGTAATCATCAGTATCTCCAAAAACTGTGTTCCCTTAGTTTTTCCATTTTTTGCTCTATTTAAGCTCTTATTCTGTTTTCTCTTTCAGCAGAATGAATCTGGGTGAAATTGTCTTTAATATTATACTTCCTTTAAACTGAAAAAAAAAGTATTAGTAATAGAAAGTAGCTTAGAAAGTTGCAGAAAATTATAAAGTCATGCCATATCGATATTGCTTGAAAAGTTGGTGTAATTAAAAAAAAAAAAGAGGACACATCCTAGAATAACTGCAGGATTTAACAAACTGCTTCTTTGCTCGGACAATGAAAGCAGTTTTGACTGTCTCTTCCTTTCCCATTTGCCATCATCTTTTAATAATTATTTTATTGGTTCTCATTAGGTTAGAAGGAAAAAATAAACTCTAAAGTGCTAAATAGTGTGTAAAATAATATCAACACTAAGGTACTAATAACTGTTACCTTTTAATTTTGTTTTATTATTTATAATTTTATTTTAGAAAACAATAATTTAATGATTAATACTGTGTAAAACCTAGTGGTCTATATGTTTAAATAAAGAGCTCAAAGGTTTAATAGCATCCCCAGAATAGTTAATCAATAAACTTTGTTCACAGATATATAAAGTGATTATTAATATGATGTTAAGATTAACAAAACCCATGTTTTAATTGCAGCTGTGGCATTTGACTCACATTTCAGGATATATTATGAACAATTTAGAATTATACCTTCATATAATAAATGCTGGCCCACTCTCTATTCCCCAAATACTGGGTATTAAACCCAGGGCCTCAATTTATGCTAGGTAAGCACTACATCACTGAGCTGTATACCCAGCCAGCCCTTTTTATTTTGAGACAGGATCTTGCTAAATCACCCAGGGTGGCACCAAGCTGGTGATCCTCCTGCCTCAACCTCTGGAGTAACTTGGATTATAGAATAAATGTTCTTTATTGCAGAATCTTTTCATGTATTTTCATTCTTTTTTTTTTTTTTTTTTTTGGCCAAGTGAGGTTATTCTTTTACCATCAACAATGTGGATGTAAGTAAATCATTAGAATGCTGTTTGCACAGCTGCCATGATTTAGTATAGGGATGTGGTTTCAATTTTAATGAACCAAACATCTGCTCCTAGAAAAGCCCCAGGCTGTTGCTTTTGAGTGATGAATGTCTTCATTTTCCAGTTGGTATTGCAGTCTGTTAACTTAATTCTACTATAATTGTGGTTATTTTACCTTTTAATAGGAGCATGTGAAATGGGTTCATGCTGAAATGGTAAATAAAAACTCCAAGTTAAAGCTAATTTATGTGACTCCGGAGAAAATTGCAAAAAGCAAAATGTTTATGTCAAGACTAGAGAAAGCCTATGAAGCAAGGAGATTTACTCGAATCGCTGTGGATGAAGTTCACTGCTGTAGTCAATGGGGACATGATTTCAGACCTGGTATGTAGGTTTTACCTTGAAACCCCTTGATATTATGGACCATATTCTAACTTAGCTTGACATGGTGAAAATCTCTTCTTCCATTAACATTATCCTGTCGGGTAGTTATTACCCATTTGTCCTTGCATTAATGTGAGGAGGCCAAGAGGCAGAGTCTTTAATCTCCTTATTTCTCACTGCAATATTTAGTCCAATTATCTTTTGAAACATGTTTTTATTAGTCAATATTATATATCTCTGTGGAATTTATGATCTCCTAGTACTCCCTCACATTTGATGAGGAATTTAAATCCACTTCAAAGTTGTCTTCTTTTGTTATCATTTGGGTGTCTTTAACATCCTACCTAACTTTTCACTGCCAAAGTCTGATGAGATATTTTAGTATATATTTAGTAACTCTTATCTTCACTCCACCAATCGAATCTATAAATCATCTCTCTAGGCTTTTCATACTCAGAGGGACCTCCCAGGTTTCTTTTAATTCCTACTTATTTGTTCATGGCTTCCATCCATCCCTGCATGATCACACTTTCCCCCATTCAGATTCCTGTTGCCACTTGCCTTTTGTATTTTTCCTGAATTGCTTGGCCATTTTACCAGCCTACTCAGGCCCATGCCAGATGGAGATGGCTTGGCAGACTCTGCTTTCCCTATTCCTGCTGTTTGATGCTAAACATTGTCAGAAGAAAAAAAAAATTAAATAGCTGCATTAATTTCCACTCCAGTTCAGCCTTTTATCATGCTTAGCTATCCTTTTACTTGTCCCTATTTCAGCTCCTTTATACATTGCATCCAGCAAGTTTTTCCTATCACTAACTTTCCCTTTAGGCCTGACCCATACCCAGTAGATGCCTCCTACTTCCCAGAAAATAGGTGCCGTCAAATATGAACATCTCTTTCTTCTCCTTCCAAACATTGGTATTTATTTCTTTTCCTCTTTTAGGCAAAAAAAAAAGACGAGTTCTTTTATGAAGTAACTGTGGACACTCCCACTTCATCCTTTCCTGCCTTCTGAAGATTGTTTTCTACCAATTTCCTCACTCCTGCACTTGCAGTCTCACTGATCCCATCCTGAAAACAAAAACAGAAGCTCAAACACCCTGCTGACCTTTCTAAGATATCAACACTTATGTATTCTATTTCTGCATTTCCTTCCCCATCACTCACCATCTCCATTTCTCACCTTTATTCCTTTTTAAAGGAACACAGTGCCACCACCACTGTACTGAATCAGGTCAGCAGACTCTGCTTCCAGTGGCTTAATCCGGCAGTCTGGTCTTCATTCCTCTTCCCACTTAAGTTCACTACTATTCACTGTCTTCACCTCTCGCCTTGCTGCTTTCTCCTCCCTTGTTTCTGTAATGTTACACCCTTGAATTTCTTCCTGTTTTTATTCCTTTTGTTCTTTCTTTGTTCCTTCCTTAAACATTAGTGTTCCCTAGGAATCTTTACTGTTTTTTTACATTTCTCCAGGGATAGTGAACTCGTGGATTGAAGACTTGTCTAGTTTATGGATTATTTTGGGCGTTGTTTTTTTTAAAACATTGATTTAAATACCATAGGCAGGATATATACTCTTTATTTTACTAAGAACCCTTCTATCTTAACCATATTACTCCACACATTTCTTATCTGACAGCCACTGAAGGTATCTGATCTATTACTCTTGTTCTATGTTTTCAACCTGAGCAGTCTGAGCACTTAAGGATTTTTACCATTGCATTTGTATTATCATGACTAATATTGTCTCACAGACTGGCTGTCATGCTATAATCAATTATTCCCACATCTAATTATCTTACTTTTAAATTTCAAATTTATATTCCTAGTTGTTTGTTGGAAATGTGAATGTTAATTAGAGGACCAACACTAAATTCCACTTCAAAGAACTGCTCATTTTCCTTCTATTTTGCAACTGGGAATCAGTACTTGTTCTTCTAGATGTCCTCACCAAGAACTTTTGATTTTTTTTCTCCTCTCCTCTCTGGGCTGCCTTTGCTCCTTCCAACTCTTCTTCTTATATAATTTCCCTTTCAGTCTTTCATTTCCAAAAACTCATTCAAACACATATTAGTTCAAGCAAAATTTTAGCAGTTATAGAGGTTTCAGGATTCTCACAGATTTCAAAATCCACACATACTCAAGTCCCTTGAATAAAAAGTGGTATGGTCTTTGTACATAAACTATATACATCATCCTGTATACTTTAGATCATCTCTATTTATAATACCTAATAGCATGTAAATGCTATATAAATAATTGTTATACTGTATTGTTCAGGGAATAATGATAAAAAAAGTCTGTGTTTGTTCAATACAGATACAAACGTTTTTTCAAATGTTTTTGAACTACAGTTAGTTTGGATATAGAATTCACTGATACAGAGGGCTGACTATGCATATCATTCAGGGTCCAACCAGGAGACAGGAACCATTGTTATTTGAACACAGAGAATTTTATATGAAGAATTGTTAACTATGTAAAAGGTGATTAAATAGATAACTCAAAAAATAAAGAACTTGATATCATAGAAATAAAAACTGAAAGAAACAACTACCATCCATAGGACTAGAGAATAGGAATAAAAGTAATATAAGTAATAGAATTTAGAAACTTAGAGGAGGGGCCTTGTGGAATTGGCCCTTGGACCTCTAAGGAGGAATAGTTCCTTGGTGCTGGAATTTTGGCAGTGGCAGAAGTGCAGTGGATTCATAAAGATGCTTCATTAAAGGTTGGAAATACTGCCAACTGTATTCAGCTGCTTCTGAGGACAGACAGTGCTGCTGCAGTGACATTTATGGGAACACGAGCAAGCCCACAGGAAGCAAACAGCTGGTGGTCTGTCCTGTCAGACCACCTGACAAAGCTGGCATGTAATGTGTAGTTCCTACCCCTGCATCAAAAGGAAGGGTATGGAAGGTTAGGGTTGGAGCTGAGAAAAATAACTTCATGGTGACACATCATCTTTGTCTTATCTTACCTCTGCAGATTAACCCACCATGTCCTGGTAGCTCTACCTCTAAAGTGAGTTTCAAATGTATCTATTTCTCTTTGTTTGTGTTGTTATCTTTTAAGTCCAAGTAGGTTTCTTTCCACTGGTTTATTGTAATAACTCTCTTAACTAGGCTTTGTTTTCAGGTTTTTTTTTTTTTGAGAGCCCAACATTTAGCCATACTTTATATATTAGAAGTCTTTTTTTTTTGAAAAAAAGGTACATCATCTAAGAGCAAAGAAATATGAACCAGTCAATGGATGGCACAAATGCAGCATTAAGGAGTACTTAGTCACCACTCAGAAATCATTGTGTGAGTTATGAAATAGATTCTATTTGAGAAGTTACACATTCGGTTTGTTTCTGAACCAGCCAGTGTGGTTTCTGCCTCTTTTATAAGAAAAGAGTTAGGTCTTTACTACTGCTAGAACATGATATGGTATATGATTTGGAGAACAAGGAAGGGCCATTCTTCTCCCCTGGTACCTCAACAAGAGAATGATTAGTGTAGGAATGGCTTTGGCACTTTAACCCTCAAACATTGTCCCACAACTTGTTACTTGAATATTGTAGCTTCACATGATTTTAATACCATGCCATCTCCATACTTTTTATATACACGATTTATATGTACAGTAATAAAATTCCTTTATTCTAAAACAATACAGCTCAACCCCAGAAAGGCCCAAATTAAGTCTTTATATTAGTTCACTCATAACTTTCTTCTTGATTCTTGTGCTATATTATTCATTTTGTTTTCTATTTAAGCTACCATCCAAGATTGACTTAAGGCTCTAGTTTAATGCAAATGATTTAGTCATAGTATAAATCTCTCTTGAGGCTCAAATCACACTTCAATGATTCTGTCTTTTGAAGCTGTTTCTCCTTGTTGGATGTGTCGTGTCTTGCTAGGTAGTCCATAGAGATAGATGGAAACACACACAAGAAGGGTATACCCCTTCAGAGCATACCCAGAGCAAAGGTAATCTGTAACCCAAGCGGTGTGACTGAAGCAGTGGTAGAAATTGTCAATGGAGGCTGCTGCAGAAAAGCCTTTCATGATGTCTTTGTACTTGACCACAGCAGAATAGTATAGAGACCTCCAACACTTGCCAGAAAGATGACAAACCAGACATAATATGTGTAACCATAGAAAGAAAATCCTTTTTAAAAAAATTTTAGCTGCATTTTACAAGTTGCCACCAAGTAATGTCATAGCAATTCCTGATAAATACATACATTTGAATGTTTCTCACTCAAAGGGAAGTATCTGAAGTCTTCAAGACTTTTTCAAAATACACTCCTGCAAATCCTAATCACAATATAGCAATTGCTATAGCACCAAACCCTAATAATGGATTCTGTTCCGTCACAACTTTTGTAGCTTGGGCTGGTTTCCACTATACAAGTGTGACTCCACCACACAGCATAGACACTGAAATCCACTATCATTTGCTGATTATCCACTTTCACATTAAAACAGTACATACAGTAGTACAGGGAATCTTTAAGTGGTAGGTCAACTGGAATAGTGCTACATCCAGATTGCTGAGAGCTAGGGAAGCCATGTTGTTTTGAACAGCATTCATTAATGATGGCACACTTAACTTCATCAGTTCCTTGAGGGTCCCTAAGACGTTTTCACTTAAAGATGCCTTTAATCTACCCAGACCACCAGTTTCTCAGGGGCAACCTCGGTACTCCAGTAGCCCAATGAGATACTCTGATTTTAAACTAACCCTTGTATAGTTTGTTTTCTATATAGCAACCAAATTTTGATCTTTCCCAGATATACATCAAATCATGTTAATTTGCACCTAAACTGCTCAGCAACTTTTCTGTACTTAGAATAAAATTCAGAGTTCTTTATTTGGGCCTGTTAGGCAATATATGATTTATTTCCTGTATGTCTACCTGATTTGCTAGTTTTCCTCTCTCACTCTTTCAGCTTCAACTCTATTGGGCTTATCACTATGGGTAGATATCACTCTGATAATAGCATATTTTGTGCTTTATTCCTTATATTGTGTGGGTTTTTCCCTTGGATTATAACTGTATGTCTTGCTTACCACTTTATTTCTCGTGCTTAGAGATTTACTGGCCAACTTTTATCTGTTGATGAATTGATTAACAGGACTCATCCCCTGTCCTTCCCCAACTTCTGCCCCCTCCATGTCCTAATAGTCACAAGGATCTGTGAGGGTTGAGTTGATATATTTCCCTTATATTTTTTTCTTTCTGATTTATCTATAGTGTCATGGCTTATTTCATATTCTCTATTATTTGTTTTCTTGCCTATTACTGTCATTTTTAAACTGGTTTCCCTCTCTTAAGTCTTTTCTGCTCTAGCCTATCCTTGGCATTGCCACTAAAGAATAATTCTGAAATTTAAGTCTTATTTATGCTCTTTGGGCACTTCTGCATCTATCCATGGTCCTCTCTGCGTGGAAAGACCTTCAAAGAGTAATGGCAACTAGTTCACTTCGCTTCCCAAGTCTTACACAAGTTCCTCTTTTAGGTCAGCTCTAATTTAGAACGCTACATAGAAGGAATTCTGGAACACAGAATCCCTACCTAATGGATTGGGCAAATCATCCAGCACAACACCCTGTGGTGTAGCCCCACTGAAATGCTTGCTGTTTTCTGAACATGCTGAGTGATTTCATGCCAATGCATTTACATTATACGTGCTGTGTCCTCTGCTTGCTGTTGTTCTTCCCTGTTAAGCAAACTTCTGTCTGTTCTTCATGACCCAACTCAAATGTTATCTCCTTGAAATCTGCACAACATCACAAGAAGTTGTTTCCTCCTCCATGTGTTCATAGTTACCGTCTATCTTAGCAGTTACCACATATTTTGAGTACTGAGGGAAATGAAGGATCTCTTACGTAGGGATTTAGATATGTATGATAAGTATGAGTCCAGAATGGTTTCCCTGAAATAGGTTCTGTTGCAAGCAGTGCCTTCACCACTTTTTTTTTGCCACTTTTGGATGAAGTAGATGGTAGAAAAGTTTTGACCAGTGGTTTCTTTTATCTTTTGTTGATAGTAACAGAACCAAATACTATGGCTATTTCTACTATCTCATGAGTCTTTTGTTCAGCAGTTGTAGATCAATGCATAGTTGATGGAATGTTTGGTTTCTTTCTCTTCAGTGGAGTTCTGCCTATGTCCAACAACAGTGTTTCTGAAGAAAAGTGTAAAAAAATCTACGTATAAAAGAAGAATAGTAGGCAATAGCAAATTTAATGTTATAGATAGCTATGAAATAAAATTATATGAGTCATTGATTATCTACATAAAGTTGAGGGTATAATTTACTCTAATCCTTTGAGGATAGAAAGAAGGGCACTTTATTTATCTTTTTCAGATTATAAGGCACTTGGTATCTTGAAGCGACAGTTTCCTAATACATCACTAATTGGGCTGACTGCAACTGCAACAAATCATGTTTTGAAAGATGCTCAGAAAATTTTGTGTGTTGAAAAGTGTTTTACTTTTACAGCTTCTTTTAATCGTCCAAATCTTTACTATGAGGTATGTGACTTTTGTCAATTTATTACTTTTGTGAAGAATTATAGCAGAGAAATTATGCTTTTTCATTGTGTCTGTTTTTATTTACATGAGCAACAGTTTAAAAATATAAAAAGGTTTAACATCAGTAGATAATTAGAAGCAGATTCATTAATTGGTATCTTATTCACATATCTCTGGTGCTGTATAATCTTTTAAATAAGAAGTCATGTATTTGTTCAAGTTGTTTACATTCTTTCTTGTACAAGGATGGAGAGAGGAATGAGATCATGGACCTGACATCTTTATGGAAATTAATTACTAAACAATAGAAATATTAGAGATTTGCCAGTACCCCCATTTAGATTTTATTTACTACATACTGAAAATAAAATAACCCAGTTGCTGTCCTTCCTTTCTTTCTAACCCTTTTAGGAACAGATACAATCTTTCTTCTGTTTTAACTGAATAGTTATTTATTTGTGGTGTATGTTTTCATAAAAATAGCATTAGAAAATAAAAAGGTCTCCTCATCTCTAGCAAATTAAAAAGTAAGAATCAAGAGAGTCTGGGAGGTGGCAGAAATAAGTCATATGGCTTATGAAACAAGTAAAAGAGTAATGGAAAAAAACTACTATGCTCATGAAAGAATTGGACTTCAAAAGTTGTGAGTAAATGGCTACTTGGATGGTACTTCTCTTTAACTTTTTAATAAGATAATTTTTTTCTAGGTTCGGCAAAAGCCTTCAAACACTGAAGATTTTATTGAGGATATTGTAAAGCTCATCAATGGGAGATACAAAGGACAATCAGGTAATATAAAAGCAAGTAAAACTTTGGGGACTTTCAAAAAGTAATAGTATCCTGGTAATTATACTGATTAATTACTAAATATATTAGCATGTGGCAGAAGATACTTGAAACTGTTGTGATAAAATTAATTCACTTGGTGACTCTGGAAACATGCTAAGACCTTTGTGTATGTCACAGATTATCAGTCAGAACTGCCTGAATTATTATGGTTATTAATACTTAATTGCTTTAGAATGCACCTAATGACAATATTAATTCAGTGGCATAGACTTTAGATAATAAGTACTACATACAAAATAAAGGGTTAAGTGTTGATGTCTAAAGAGTTACAAAATAATGTGTCTAAAGAACACATTAAAGAAATAAATAGTACATATTTAATAGTTTAGGCAGAGATGAAATTGAGAGTATGTGTATATGCATTCCAGGATTGATGACTAGGCAAATGATATTGAAGCAAAGAGTTTGTTTAAAAGGAGCATTTTAAAACTGTTGTCTAGATTTTCAGGAGATGGTAATGTGTGTCCTGGGTAAAAGGAGTTCCAGGGTCAAGTAAGTTAGAGAAAGGCTGTGGTTATTTATCCTTCTTGGAGGGTTAATAGGGGGTTATGTCAGCACACTGGAAGCTCTGACCAGCCCTGAAGGTAGAGAGCCTATTTAACTTTGTGGAATGCATTGTTCCTCAAAATCATGTGAATCCCCCACCCCCACCCCCAGACCCCCAGATACTTACTAACATTTTATGGAGCTGTGGGACATCAGTGTGAGAAATATTATGTAGTAGGAGATACGGGTGGAGAGAGAAAACAGGTAATGGTAACTAAAACTGGTAGCTCAGGGCTCATTTCTGCTTTTGAGAAAGCTGGTGATCAAATCTTGCATTATACACAAAAGTCAATAAATATATTCTTAGGGCCTTGGAATTTTTTCCACCTGTGTATTGTATTAATTAGTGGCTTGTGTGTGTTTTGAAAATGGTCTCTGAGGAAGGTACTATTTATGTATGTCTAATACATGATCATATTTTATATTTTGTTGTAGGAATCATATACTGTTTTTCTCAGAAAGACTCTGAACAGGTAACGGTTAGTTTGCAGAATTTGGGAATTCATGCAGGTTCTTACCATGCCAATATGGAACCAGAAGATAAGACCAAGGTTCACACAAGATGGTCAGCCAATGAACTTCAGGTTAAGATTATATTTTCAATAGAAGCCTAATTTAAAATATTTAAACTTGACTTAACTGATAGACATGTTAAAACATTTTAGGTAGTAGTGGCAACAGTTGCATTTGGAATGGGAATTGATAAACCAGATGTGAGGTTTGTTATTCATCATTCAATGAGCAAATCCATGGAAAATTATTACCAAGAGAGTGGACGTGCAGGTATGTAGAACTTACAACTAGAAGTTATTTTTAGAATACTTTTCTAGAAGACACATCATACACATTTAATGATTCTGTATTTTTAATCTTTATCAGGTAATACTTTTAGAACAGTCTTTTTAGCAGATTTATTTTCATAGGGAACATGTTACTTATATCCTATTGGGGTGTTAAGAATCGTTTCTTGTGTGTACCAAGATAATCTGATACTCATCATTTCCTCTTGACTCAACTAGGTCACTTAAGGGCACATTTTTAACTTAATATGATTGTTGTTAAGTCTTTTTAGTGATTTTTTTAAAAAAACTTGAGAGTAGCTGTTAAAAATAATTTTTACATCTCTAAAATCTCTAGATGTAGTTTAAAACTTTGCCAGCCTATTTTACATATTTATCATTTTTTCATGTGTGTTTTTAAAATAAGTAATCATGCAATCTCACGGATTTCTCAAACTACAGGTCGAGATGACATGAGAGCAGACTGCATTTTGTATTATGGCTTTGGAGATATATTCAGAGTAAGTTCAATGGTGGTCATGGAAAATGTGGGACAACAGAAGCTTTATGAGATGGTGTCATACTGCCAAAACATAAGCAAGTAAGTTACATGTCTGTTTTAAAACTATTAAAGAAAAGCATGATATTAAATTGTACAATATTATTTGAATACTTACTAAGTAAATTGGTATTAATACCCAAATCTGTAGAAGCAGATATTTGGAGGCAGGAACCAGTGTATCAAACTTCTAATGATTTTTATTAATTCAAGAAAGATGCTCTATCTAAATTAATTGTTTAACTGGAGATTTTGATACACATTGACAATGAATTGAAGCCTTTTTCCTTTGGCAGTGTGGTGTAACAGCTACATGCTGTAATAATTTTGAAAAGGTGTATTGGCCAGGCATGGTGGTACATGCCTGTAATCCCAGTGGTCAGCAGGTTACAGTAGTAGGGTTGAAGGTTCAAAGCCAGCCTCAGCAATTTAGCAGGGCTCTAAGCAATTTAGCGTGACCCTGTCTCAAAATAAAAAAATAAAAAAGGACTGTGATGTGGCTCACCAGTAAACACCCCTGGGTTCAATCCCTGGTACCTATCCCCCCTGGGGTGGGGGAAGAAGAAAGAAAGAAAAAAAAGACAGGTGTATGACAGGTATTTTGAGAGCGAAGCTCAGTAACATGGGCCATTCTACCACCCAATGTGCAAAGGAAATAATTGAGGACAAGCTCATGTTTCACATTATGAAATAAATATAAATCTATTTAGGGTAAATTTAGTTAGACCATATAGTTTCCTGATGGCCTCTAGATCTTTATCCTCTTTGTACTTTTACTGCACACAGAAGGGCTCAAAAATGTTGAAATGGAGAATAGTAACCCAACGGTGATAGAATATAGCATTTTCTCTCAAATGTACGCTATAGTAATCTAATTAAGAGAAATAAGAAAATGAAGATTTCTCAGACTTTCATGACGTATTTTGAGGTTTAGACTAAAACATCGATAATTTAAAATATAAGTAACTACTTTTCTGTCAAGAACATTTTCCCAATAGTCCTAAAATACTGATCTCAAAACCAAACAGATAACTTCTTAAACATTATGTTCAAGAACATAATGAAAAAAAGCATAAAATATGTAGTAGGCAAAGTGGTCCCCCATCGATGGCCTTGTCCTAATCGCTACAACTCATGTCTTCCCTTACATGACAAAGGGGAATAGGGATTAGTTTAGATCATATGGGTAGGTCTAGTGTAACCACAAAGGGCCTTCAAAGTGGAAGAGTTAGGCAGAGAGGTCAGATTGATGTGATATGAGAAGGATTCAACCCACTATTGCTGGCTTTGAAGATGGAGGAAGGGGCCAGGCAGCCTCTAGAAACTGGAAAAGCAAGGGTATAAGTTTTCACCTAGAGCTTCCAGAAGAAATGCAGCTCTGTTGACACTTTCATTTTGACCCAGTGAGACCCGTGATAGATTTCTAATTTGTAGAAATGCAAGAATAATAGAATAGGTAACTATACTCTGAAGTGTAGTGATTTCTCTCTCTCTCTTTTTTAATGTAAGAAAGGTACTGTACCAGTGTCACAGTTTTAAAGGGAGGCACATCTCAGGACAGTGCAGACACTTAGTCACCATGCTTATGAACCAAAAAGGATCCTGAAATAGTAATTTTTAAAAACTTTATTATTAGATCATTTAATAATCTATACCTCTGAATTTGTTTGCAGATGTCGCCGTGTATTGATAGCTCAACATTTCGATGAAGTGTGGAATTCAGAAGCATGTAATAAAATGTGTGATAACTGCTGTAAAGACATTTGTAAGTGTGTATTTTTAAACCTTTGTAGGCTATGTATACAGCTAGGATTAAGTAAGGGAAGTATTAGACCCCCAATGGATTAAAAAGATAAAACAAGTTATGACTAGAATTTTCCAGATTCAAAAATAATGTCTTGAAGTAGGTAAATATGCACAATATAGCAATATAAGTATAGGACATGTGAAATTTTTTAAAAATAAGGCAAAATTTGATTCTTCTAAATAGAAATACTGTATATTTGAAAGAGCTATGGGCTGGGGACATAGGTCAGTTGATAAGAGGGCCTGCCTTGCTTGTACAAGGCTCTGGGTTCAATCCCCAGCACCACACACACACACACACACACACACACACAAACACACACTTAAAAAAAAAAAAAAGAATGAGCTAACCCTATGATAATCTCTAACATTTTGTAGTCACTGGGAAGAAAATATAGTGCAAACAGATTTTAGCAAAATGATGAACTACTCAGTAAGACACTAACTTAGTGGTGTCTTTTTTCATTGTGTATGTATGTATATGTTGTTCTTGAAAAGCTAAACTAATTAGTTCTTCATACAGAGCCTCATTTAGTTCTGATGCCTTGGGTGGAGGTCACTGCACTTTTAACTTTGCAGCTAAAGAAAGTTATTTATGAGTTTATTAGATTATCTTAAACTGACCAAGTTAACAAAAATATGATATTTTAGAGTGCCAGCCTCTTAACAGTTGGGAATATTTGTCCAGGACATTTTTGGCATAGGAACCCATATTAGTTTTTAGAATTTGGCTTAATGAACACGAATTAGATAAGTAAGTATGAGGATCAGACTTTCCTATAACATATACCTTTTAATAACTGTCTGGTGGACACTTTATGCTTTCTAGAGTACCGCTAGCCTGCTGATAACCAGGGTATTTTCTTTACATTACTATAAATCCTACAATATGTTGGTCTAGTAATAGAGACTTGAGGAACAGCCTCATCTTAATTTAGAACACAGTAAAAAAAATAATAATAATAATGTTTAAGAGTGGCTCACATTGATAACTAATTTTAAACCAGTTTAACCACTTATGATAGCCTATCCTTGCTCTCGTTTTGAAATTCCAATTAGCTATAACCATGTCTCTTTCATTGTAGCATTTGAAAAAAAGAATATAACAGAGTACTGTAGAGATCTAATTAAGATCCTGAAACAGGCAGAAGAACTGAATGAAAAACTCACTCCGCTTAAACTGATTGATTCTTGGATGGGAAAGGGTGCATCAAAACTGAGAGTAGCGGGTGTGGTTGCTCCTGTACTTCCTCGTGAAGACCTGGAGAAAATCATTGCACACTTTCTTCTACAGCAGTATCTTAAGTATATACACACCCATTTCTTGTCCTTTCATGTTATCTTTATGTTTTTTTAATTATAATAGAATAAATGGCTTTGTAGTTATTCATGTCAACTTTAAAATGCTATAGAAAACAATTTACCTAATGAACAAACTCAAACCTTGATTGACAGTGTAAGTCAAAAAAGTGCAAAACTGTTTTTTATAAAGATTATATTTGTGCTCATATAGTATAATTGTGCTACTGTATTTTTATAAGTATTAGAAGTATTTTTATTATTTCATAGTTATTTAAAATTGTAGTTATTTCTTTAAAAAATTTCAGTTTGTGATTCCTGTGAAGTTTTCTGATTATTGGCCTTTATCTTCTGCAGAGAAGACTATAGTTTTACAGCTTATGCTACCATATCGTACTTGAAAATAGGACCTAAAGCTAATCTTCTGAACAGTGAAGCACATGTTATTACTATGCAAGTAAAGAAGCGCACACAGAGCGATTTCAAGGTAACTGACTGGCTACTTTCCGTTTTTTATGTGCTTAAAAATATATGAAAGCTTATGGGATGTTTTTCTGCATTTCTCTCCTGGATTCTGGTGAACACAAGAAGAGAAAAATCATTTTCTTCTTAGATTCTGAGTTTGGAAGAGAGAGAGTGTAACTTTATTTTCTGTGGAGATATTAAGTAGAATAATTTAGATTACCCAACATAGACTAGGAGTTTCCAACCTTTGGAATGTGAATTCCATTTTGAAGTCTAATTTTGGAGGCCCACTTCCCTCCTGATACTGGTTGTGATCAGCAATGGTTAAGAAATCTGTCTATGCTACTCCAGAGTTACAAACCCAATACTGTCAAGCCTGCAAAAGCATGCCAGGAACCACCATGTCTCAGGACACCACCAGTTTTCTTTAGGTTTGTTTTCAGACAACATGGCCTCTTTAGATTAGGCTCAGATTGAGGAGAATTTTGGAGGTGAAAACTAGACTCCTGGATGAAGAATAAGCTAACGGATACATAAAGAATATTTTGAGATTATTAATCTCATGAGAAACTGAAAAGCTGAATTTTTACCAGGGTGCTTGCTTTGTTATTTTTTGTAGGTTGAGACATCTGAAGCTTATCATTCTGAACAAGCTGATAAAAAGGGGGAAGGAAAAACTTCAGGTAACTTCCAGAAGTCCACAAACATGCTTCAACAGTCTGGTTCTAAGAATACAGGGGCTAAGAAAAGAAAAATTGATGACGCCTGAAATAACTATTACGAATTTTCCACAACAATAACTGTTTATGCATGTACACATCATTATTTTTGTAGTTAATAGTTTATTTTAACAACAATTTCACTGATACTTTATATGATAGAGAAAACTATTTTTAGAGCTTATCTTTGTGAAGATTTGAGAATTTGAGACCTTTCAATAATTAGGAATCAAGAATTATATAATTTTACTGGGGCTGGGGTTGTGGCTCATTAGTAGAGTGCTTGCCTCGCACATTTGAGGTACTGGGTTCAATCCTCAGCACCACATAAAAATAAATAAACAAAATAAAGATATTATACCCATGTATAACTAAAAAATATTTTAAAAGAATTATAATTTTACAATATAAAACAAGAAATACAAATAATTTTTATGCAGAATTTTACAAATACAAAATAACTGACAATAAATTCATCTGGCTTTCTTACAGTCTTTATGCATTGGTATACTTAAGTGTATTTTTTTCTTTTGATGTAATTTTTTGATGGCACTATTAAACTGACACAGGCTCATCACTACAAGTGAGTGATATTTTAAGCTGAATAATGTAAATGATTTCATCAGGTTATAAAAATATCTATAATTCAAAAAGAATAAGGTATCAATATAAATAATATTAGCAAATAAGTTACAGCTACATCTCTATTTCAGGGAAATGAAACTGTAAGCTTTCTTAAACTATATCCCTACTTTGACATTTTACAGTCAAAAATGGATCTGGTCTATTAGAATACATTTTGGCTAAATAAATAAGAACTTGGTTAAATATGCTCCCAAGCTAAATCATAAGTAAAATGTTTAAGTTCAAAATATAAAAATGTGTAACTTAAGATTTCTTATATAATAAGGGGCCAATTTTGTGTTAGAAATATATCTATAAATAAATTATTTGAACTGATTTCATCTTTAGAATTGTATTTAATACTTTTCCCACTAACATCATTATAACTTCTATATATAACTTCAGTGTGGCCATCATTAGATTATTGCAATGATTCACTTTACTGACTTCCAGTTTTCCTCATTTGGACCTTTATATGGTTCTTGAAGAAATTTCCATTTTAGTCAAAATAATCTTCTATATCAATATTTGGATCTAGAAGATCTTCTCCATATGATGAAAGATCCATTTGGTTTAGAATTAAATTTTCAAATGTTTCCTCTAAATCAGTTTCACCAATTAAGACAGCTCCCATCATTTGCCCATTTTGCATGACGACTTTGACGTATTCTTGTCCTTTGGTACACCTCAGCATTAATTCATGATCTGAACCTAAGCCCTGTGCATTGTATTTTCCCAACAATACAACCTGTATATGGCGATAAAAAAGTTTCTTGTGAGTACCTAATAGGAAATATAAAATTGTGCAGTTACTTTGGGTCAAGCTAGAATAGCCAGCAGAAAAACTGTTCAACAAAATTTTAGCTGAAAATGTCATTGGGGAGGATCCCAAAGAAAACATTCTAATGTCCTGCATTTATTCTACATATAACACTACCACATAATCTGCACTAATATTAAAAGTATCAGTGAATATGTTAATGTATAGTATTAACATTAAAAGTGTCTAGAGAATATAAGGGGATGTACTTTATAATCTACATGAATATTAAAAATGTCTAGTGAAGAAATACATGATATGTGAACTATATTCGACTGGAGTCATTGTTTAAAGATTGAAAAAACTGAGAGCTTTCATGGACAAATTATTTAATCTCTCTGAGCCTTACAAATGTATTTTTCCTTATATATAAATTAGGAAGGTAAAGACCTGCTTTGGAGTGATGCAAAGAGAACTAAAACGTACAGGAAAGAAACTGGTTCATTATTGAGTATGACAGCTAACAGGTGAATCTCAAATAAAACTTAGAAATGTACAATAGGACATAAATCTGGAGAGTTTTTTTTTTCCCATCTTAACTGTAAAACAGTATAGTAACACGGTAATAATTAAGATTAGGAATTAAATGCAATTCCAGACACTGACTGGCAAGAAAGAGAAAATGTCATTTTTGTAAAAATGACTGAAACCAGGTAAATTTTTGAGTAAGAAAATGAGATGATCAATCATATTTATGTACTAGATTAACAGAAAAGGCAATGATTTCCTTAATTATCTTACCTTATAGTTAAAAAATTTTGTTACATGAGCAAACAGTTCAAAGCTGAAATCCATGTCAATAGAGTCTCCCAAACTAGCTGCAGCCATGCATTTTGCAGCATACCATCCCATCTGTCTGGCCTGGGTCCACAACCTCATCTGAGACAATGAAAAAATGTTATACATTTTTTAAAAATGTTATACATTTTAACATTTTTGAAAATGTTATCATTTTAACCTGTACATTCCTTTAAAGAGGGTACAATGTTTGATAGTTTTTCAGATCAGTTGGTTCTGGCAGTTATCATCTTACTGAAGCAGTTACCTGTGTACACCAATTAAATTGACTTAGGTAACTGTTAATTTAATCAATTTACTGCCTCAAAAATTAAGATACTGGTAAATAGAAGACAACAATGAGTGGCAGGAACACGAAACTAAAGAGATAATTCTATAGATAGGACTATGTGCTGGTCCGCCACATGCTTTCTCTTAAAAAGCAAATGACCTGAGGACATTGTGGCTCTGCTCTGGCTTAAGTCCATAGGACATATTACATTCCTCAGCAAACAACCTGTTATATGTAGAGCTGCTCTTTTAAGACTCTTGATTGTAAGATTCCTCACTGCTGAGATGAACACAAGTTACCCTGAGGGGGGACTTTTATGACTTTCATACAGACCAAAAATTCCAAGACTTGAGAAGATAGGCTTATTAAAAAGCAAAGCCCACTGACCATAAAATCTGCAAAATACAAGTTTCAATTAGAACTAGTCAGCACAGGCCAAGATGACCAAGAGTTGCCATTCAATTTTTAGCATGTAATTATAATGGTAAAATTCCCACCCTGTTCCAGGGATTTCATTTGGTTACCTGTGGGTAAGACCATGCATGGTAGGGATTTAAAAATTTGATGTAATCCTAATGTCAGTTAAGAATTGAGAGTCCGTAGGACAGGTCTCTTTAGAAAATTCCTTAAGACCTCCCAATAAAACTAGGGAAAAAGGAGTGCCACATCTCTCTCTTCTTTGAGATGTTCCACCGGCTTCTTTGAGGGTCTTTCCCTGTTCCTCCAATAAACTTTGCTATGTATACTTCCACTACATTTTATGTCCTGCTTGCTTCACATTTTCTTCTACAAGAATACAAAAGCTGAGAGACACAACGTGACCCCTGGCCTATTACAGATAATATAGTATGACACCAATTACACATATATTTTAATAAAATTTCTACTAAATATTATGAAAATATTTCAGGTACACTGAAAATGAAATTTTAATTAACCAGTCCCCACATCAAAGTTTGTCTTCAGCATTGAGAGAGATACCAATCTCTGAAAAATTTGGTCCATAGTCTAGTAACCTTTAGATTTAGGCATCAGATGGTTAAAGTCCTACTGTACAGTTAACCTATGGTCAGCCACATACAGATATTTGTCAGCTGGTGCCAGCCCTAAGGTATCATATCAGATTTCAGCAGTCGATTCTGGAAAGTCATGCAATGTCATCTCTTTGACAGAACTAATTTCCCCTCTATTGTATTTTTATTATATTTCTATAAATTTTGGAATTCCCTGGTATAACAGAAAACACTGGCTTTGGGAGTAACAGTAAATGTGAATTCCATTCTTCTACACATTTATTTATCTTTTCGAGCCTCAGTTTCTTCACCTGAAGCATAACCACCACCACCTACTACACGGCTGTTCTCCAGGGAGAACAGGTTGGCCTATAATAGGCAATTTGTTTCCTTCTACACCTCTGTGTGTGCATATGTACCTTAATACTGACTTTTGTGTGCAAAAACAATACAATACAGGCATGAACTTTGAGCATTTCTAGAAGTGACTTAAAAAAATCTTTATAAACAAGGTAGGTTTAATGAAGTAAAAAGGTAGAATATTCTAAGAAATCAGAGTAAACTGAGCACAGTAATAGCTGGACAATGGCTATAAGAAGTGGCCTGCACTGACTTAAAAAAATCTTTATAAACAAGGTAGGTTTAATGAAGTAAAAAGGTAGAATATTGTAAGAAATCAGAGTAAACTGAGCACAGTAATAGCTGGACAATGGCTGTAAGAATGGCCCACATGTTGCTGGGCCATTACCTAGTGTAATCCAGCCTCAGTATTCCTTGAGTTTGCATCTTGGGCTATATAAAATTAATATTTTATTGCTTCTGCAAATTAAGAAATGGAATCTATTAGATTTACTCAAAATAAGAGATGTCTGTTTATTTTTGAATATTTTCCCTGTATAAAATTATAGCATATTAAAGAAATAATTCATCTTAGTGGGTTTAAAATGTTTGTAAAAAATCTCACAAACTCCTAATTAAAAATTTTTGACAACTGCCAGGTGTGGTGGTGCACACCTGTAATCCTAGCATCTCTAGAGGCTTGAGGCAGGAGGACTGTGAGTTCAAAGATAGCCTCAGCAAAAGCAGTCCCTAACTCACTGAGACCCTATCTCTAAAATAAAATAGAAATAGGGCTGGAGTTGTGGCTCAGTGGTCAATTTTAATCCCCAGTACCACCCCCCGCCAAAAAAAAATTGTAACAGTTATACCACAAAAAATGACAAAGGATGATGGAGAAAACTGAAAAGCTATGTTGAAAACGAGAAGACTGACACCAGTACTGATGTCTCTATTCTACATTAAATAAAAAAATGACACTGCCTCTTCAAATATGCAGTGCTTTCCCACTACATTACACCCTATAGTTAATCTGAATGAATAATAGCTCTAACCAAGAACTTGTCTTTTTAACTAAGGTTCTTTTATCTGTAATATGTCTCTTATCTTTACCCCTTCTAACATAACCTCCTTGTGTTTTTAATTATCTTCCTCTAGTATTATTATTCTCCCATTAGAAGGAAATAGGCTAGGGTGTGAGGAAAGGAGGAAGTGCAGAGCCAGTTGGGAGTTGTTAGGTGGAGGAAAGCAATTCACTATAAGAAAATTCATAGTAATGATTACCATAATAGAGTTACCAGGAATAGGAGGCTTTATGTAATCTATGATCTGAGTCATTTTCATTGTTTAAATTAAAAGCTCTGCTATGGTTGTGACTATATGGTTGTGACTAGCCACATGTAGCTTTTAAATATAATTAAGAGTAAATAAAACCAAAAAGTTAAGTTCCTCAGTCATATCAGCTATACTTAAAAGTACTCATGTGACATGTGCTTCTAGGGGCTGTCAGATTAGACAGTACAGAATTACTGAACAGAATTATAGAATTTCCATCACAGAAAGTACTATTGGACAGAACTGATAGGCATATGAAAATGAAAAAAATACTAGCCCATAATTTCTTTTAAATTAAAAAATATCTCAGCTTGAGCTTTGAAGTCAGACCTGGATTCTAAGGCTGACTCTGGCTCACTCTACTGATATTCTCAACTTCATACCCCTTCTTAGTAGACATCCCAGGAGTGAATGGAGATGGAAACATCTGCTACACTGAACTGTGTGAGGCTTGATGTGAGAATAAAGTGGTGAAACAACAGTTGTTCAATAAAACTATGTAAAAGGAAAAGAAAATAGATATCTCAATCTACTATTGTATAACTTACCAAAAAGGGGGAAAAATCTAGTTTTATTTTTTTAACATCAGAAAATGACTGTGATATAATAAGAGTCCTCCTTAAAGTAGAAAAGCTGGAAAATTAAAAAGTTGGACTTGTTGATAGCAACTGATTTATTTTCAAGTGCATTATCTAACAAAAACAAATGACCATAAATGCAAGCTTACCTGCTGCCAGACTGGGCTAGGTTGCCAAGAGGCAGT